AGTGGACGGCTCGATAATCTCAACAGCATTTCTGAAGAGAAAGAAAGACAAAATCAACAGTAAAGCGAACACCAAAATGGCAGCTTACATAATGTCAGAAGTTTTAACTCCTTGTTGAGAAGCACTAAATTGAAACGAAAGGGAGAAAACCGCGGAGTCCTGAGTTGAACATAGAAGTGAAATAGCTCTATGATTTCTGTCGAAGTGGCGCGATGGTGGCCGTAGAAAATCAAAATCTGAGATTGATGGACCGAATGAGAAAGTAGCAAGAGGTGCAACAGCTGACGCATCAAAGACAGAGAACAATTTGTCTTTAGCGTGGAGTATCAGAAGGATCGAAGGATCAAAGGGGTTCCATTTAAGAGAATCCAGAGAACGAACAACTTTTAATGTCTTGGATTTGATCAGTGGGGATGAGGGAGAGGTCGGTAATTCAAACACAACGCAGGTTGAGGACAATGAGGAATAAGCACAGCAATGGGTTTTGGTTGGATTCACAGAAATTGATGAAAGTGGTCCAGATCTGAAATCAAAACGAATGCTTACAAGAACAATAAGAGCGAGGACAAGTCTTTAAAGTTTTTCTTTCTTTCATAATTTCAAATTAACTCACATTCCAACGTCATAGTCTGAGATTGCGACATCAAAGTATTCTGGAACTGGTGTTGTTGATAAAATCAGGAACCGTAAAATTGACCATCTGAACTTTCCTGCTGATTGAGTCTCGGGGGGCGAAAGTTGTGACACCAAAGCAAAGGGAAGAGTATCTCTGTGCAATCCAAAACACCCAATGGCAAGCAGTGCAGGGGGACAGAGGACATCAAGGCGACGGATTGGAATTTCATCGAAAGGTTCACTTTGTTTTTGTTTCGCAGGAAATCCAGACGGAGGGAGGCAAGTCTTGCGTTCTTTCAGAGAGGCCTCCCAAAAAAATCTCAGATAGAGGAGTCATTTCTGTACTAACAGGTCTAGGAGTGACATTTCGTGAAGCATCAAAATCGTCTTTTTCTCTGTTTGTTTCATTCGCAAAATAAGAATATATTTACTAAAGTTCGTCATCAAGTTCAGTATCATCATCCTCGATAATTTCGGCCCGGCACGCGTCGGTTTTAGACTCTTCCAAAGATTTTTTTTGCAGCTTCTGTACATTTTTTGAAGCAGTGGGAGTTCAAACCTCCTGAAATGAAATTCATGATTAATCGATTTTGTAGCGCTCATGAAATAGACACTCTTAGGTAGACGATGATTGATGGTTTAACTTCTTACCTTCATGCACAGACAGTCAAACAAGCATTCTTCCTTCAAGGCGTCAAAGGATTCAAAGCCACAGGGTTGCATACATCGAAAGCCGTCTGTTGGATCTTCTATTGATGGTGACGGAAACTTGGCCATTGGCACACTCGACTCTGCAGGGCCAGCTGCGAGTTTCTGATGTCCCCAATCAAGAACATCCAAAAATTGCCTGACAGAAAGGAAAGTTGGTGAAAGTGTCTGCCACGAAGCGTCAACGATTGAGTGAATTTCATTTCCTTACTGAGTAGCGAATCTCTGCACGTCTGATAATGAATGAGTTTGGCTCAGTTGATATCCGGTTCCTAGAGAGTAACAGATGAGATACAATATCGAATAAGAGAAAATATCGAATAAGATAAAATATCTAAGATAAAATATCGAATAAGATAATGCAGATAAACGGTATTTTGTGATGAGATCAAATTTTGAATATTGTTTCAATGGTGTGAGATTGGAGCTTACCGATCACCAAAATACCCAAGAAGACTCTCGCTGCGACCATTCCCCAATCGTCGTCGCGCTTTTCCCATGAATAGAGTGGTTTGAAGGAATCAACGAAGTTGAGCTGAAAAATGGAAATATGGAGAGTGAGGTTGAGAAATGGTGGTGGCTAACGGGTGCTACTGTGGTGGCTAACGGGTGCTACTGTGGTGGAAATATGGACAGTGATCAGACATCAGAACGCCATCATGAGATAGAGAGTGATTCACGCAATTCACTCTAATCCGTACCTCCTCATCAAACAATCTTGGGAAGAGCCAAAAATCGATTCCAACGAACCACACAAGACAAAATAGTACAAGACGCAAAACACTCGAGCCAAGCTGCAAAAATGAAACAAGTGAGTACTCCATGACTATTGAATAGGGTACCGTACAATGAAGGTGATTAAAACCACGGAGATGTACCAAGTGGAAAGCTTCAGAGCCAAAGGCCACGCACGGAACAAGCATATCGCCTGAACAAACAAACCAACTGAAATCAAAATTGACTGAAATCAAAATTGTTACTAAAAGCTAAGAACAGATGAGCATGAGGCAGATCAAGTGAAATCAACATCGATATGAGATGAGAAGCCTCTCTTGACTTCAGAGTTGGGTGGATGATATATGAGAGGGCTGTAGTCTCACCAGAACGGCTCCGATGACGAGAGCCAAGTAAATGTATGGCCAATGACTTTTGGGCTCATAGCGGAAAATATAAAAGGCATTAGAATCAAACCGCTGATCACTCGACATTTCTAATCTCTTCGGCCATTTTGGAATCGAATCTGAAATCAAAAAACAGCCAGATGGATACACACTTCTATTGGCGTTTGTTTTCAAGTCTCTTAACAAAATATGTATTTTTTGAAGGATCATCAGCTCTTACTCTCCGTCTGCTTTCCAGGATCTTGAGACTCAACGGGACGCGAACTGATTGGTTTGTAATGCGACTTGTAGATAAATCCCAAACGGCACAGTTCCTCTATCAATCGCTCAGCAGTTCTTGCTGTAAATGGGATTGACGCGCCGTCGACGCACTTGGGGAACTACGAGATCGGAAAGGCAACACTCTACTCACTCAGCTGAAACACGATGATGACAAACTATATGAATGAGGGTGATTTAGAAATCATTGGAATGACAAAATCATACAAAATCATACAAAATCATACAAAATCATACAAAATCATACAAAATCATACAAAATCATACAAAATCATACAAAATCATACAAAATCATACAAAATCATACAAAATCATTGGAGTGACAAAATGACACTTATCTCGATGATGATAAACTCTCTTACTCTATTCCTGATATCTTCATCATTCTTTTGAATCCATTTTGACAAATCAGTCGCTCGACAATATTCTACAGCTTTTTTTTCCAACTTCAACAGCTGGTCGAATCTTGACTCCATTCGATTTTAGCAAGAATTCAACTGGAGAAAGAAGAATAGGAATAAGGTAGAAGACAAGTTAATCGTTTGACGAACGATTTGCACGTCAGCTACGAGCTTCCACTAGAGTTTCCTCTGGGTTCACCCTACTCAGGCATAGTTCACCATCTTTCGGGTCCTAATCAATGTGCTCAGCCTAATTGTCAACGATGACTCACCCAGAGGCTCGAACTTGGGATCCCACACCGGTTTCTCTACCTTCTTGCTGCTAGAGCGGGATGCCATCGAAAGATTTCAGAGGACCAGGAACAGTTTCTTATGCAAATAGGTTCTTCGAGAAAAAAGTGTCCTGCTGTGCTTGCAACAGATTAAAGTATCTGAGACTGCTACGAATTAGATGAGAGCCAAGCAACGAATTGATTCTAATTGTAAATTCGTTGGAAATATCGAATTGACATTTCTAGAGTAAAAACCAATTTGATGCGCTTCAACATTTCTATACGATACGCTACGAGAGTTCCCCAAGAGATTCCCATTCAATGTGCCGCCGGAGAACATGTGTCAACCATTTCCAATACTCATCTCTCACAGATTGCGTACAAACTTGCAAACTAAAGTCATGTTTTCAAAGAAAGGTCCTTGACAGAGAAAGGAGTCAGCCCAGAGGAATTGGGACAGGTTGAATCACCCTGTTGGCACCTGTTGCCTGAAAAAACGCTGTCCCACTGGGATACAAACATCAACTTCTGCTCCTCCATACTCGTTCATTCATTCAATCAATCCAGCTCCTTTCCTTGACTCATTGAATCCAGCACTTCTTGCCTTGATTCATTGAGCGTCTCTGTGTACGGAAATCGTCTACGGTGACGATACTCCGAAGGATGAAACGCTACAATATGATTATGGTTGAAGTGTGTGTTTGAATCTCTCACTTTTCTGACCCGATTCGTCGCCTTCTTTCATACATCTCTTTAAAGTGATTATATTCGATGTTTAAAGTGATGATATTCGATGTTTAAAGTGATGATATTCGATGTTTAAAGTGATGATATTCGATATTTAAAGTGATGATATTCGATGTTTAAAGCGATGATATTCGATATTTAAAGTGATGATATTCGAGATTTAAAGTGATGATATTCGATATTTAAAGTGATGATATTCGATATTCGATATTTAAAATGATGACTAACAACTAACTCAGCTCATTAAGTAGCCTTAGCGGCGATGCTATGAAAACTGTTCCATACGGCTTAAACCTCCGTATGCCTGACTGTTTATTTCCAAGTAGATAAATGATTATGTCTCGAATTTTCTTTCGAATGATGATTTCAAGTTCTACTCTTGCGACGGTCTTCATAATCAAACCATTCTTGGTTTTTGATGATAGTAGAACGAGCACTAACCCTGCTGTGACTGACAATTTATGTATAGTTGATACAATAATTATCATCCTAAATTCACAGTATTATCGATGTCCCAAATCCACCGCATAGAATCCTTAACGTCGCTATGGTCTCATGTTTCATCTATAGGCGTCGAGACTACGCATTCTATGCGAAACTGAAAGGGGGATCCAGCCTCGAAGAAGAGAACCACTATGTTCTCTTCTTGAGCAGCTTGATCACATTCTAGTGAATGTTATTGTTGTGTCAATGCAATTCAGGGACATGCCTGAATTGCTTAACAAAGCCTGCGACCCTAACTAAGGAGTCATGTGCGGGGGCTTCTTCATCCGGTGATCCGAGGCTTGAACTCAGAACTTCGAAACTGACAGATAGTTCCATGTTGCCGATACAGGTTCACACTGCATTTCAAGTTAGTGCCCTCACTCGAAGAGATTTTATCGTTCAGTTGGAAAACAAGAAATTCCGGAGAAACAGTCATTACTTTGCAAACCCACGACAGCAGCGAGGCAGGTCCAATCGCCCTTGACGAATGTCTTGATAATGTCTTGACAATGTCTTGACCACCACAACAACCACAACAAAACCCACGCGACAGCAGCGAGGCAGGTCCAATCGCCCTTGACGAATGTCTTGATAATGTCTTGACCACCACAACAACCACAACAACCACAACAACCACAACACCCACAACACCCACAACACCCACAACACCCACAACACCCACAACACCACAACACCCACAACACCCACAACACCCACAACACCCACAACACCCACAACACCCACAACACCCACAACACCACAACACCCACAACACCCACAACACCCACAACACCCACAACACCCACAACACCCACAACACCCACAACACCCACAACCACAACCACAACCACCACCGCCACAACAACCACAACCACAACCACGACCCACCGCCACAACAACCACAACCACGACCCACCGCCACAACAACCACAACCACGACCCACCGCCACAACAACCACAACCACGACCCACCGCCACAACAACCACAACCACGACCCACCGCCACAACAACCACAACCACGACCCACCGCCACAACAACCACAACCACGACCCACCGCCACAACAACCACAACCACGACCCACCGCCACAACAACCACAACCACGACCCACCGCCACAACAACCACAACCACGACCCACCGCCACAACAACCACAACCACGACCCACCGCCACAACAACCACAACCACGACCCACCGCCACAACAACCACAACCACGACCCACCGCCACAACAACCACAACCACGACCCACCGCCACAACAACCACAACCACGGAAACCACGACAACCACGGAAACCAAACCACGATAACCACGGAAGGCAGCAGGCGCGCAAATTGTCCAATCCCAATACATTGGGGAGACAGTGAAAAGAAATATCAATGCAGGACTCATGTTTTGCAATTGGAATGAGTTTAACCCAAATCCCTTTACAAGTATCAATTGGAGGGCAAGTCTGGTGCCAGCAGCCGCGGTAATTCCAGCTCCAATAGCGTATATTAAAGTTGTTACAGTTAAAACGCTCGTAGTTGAAACCACGACAACCACGACAACCACGACAACCACGACAACCACAACAACAACTCTTCAAGAATATTAATGACTGCCACAGTAGTACTCATCCCATGACACAGGGGCTAGACGGCGGGCAATATGAATTAGGAGAGACATTCCCAGTGCGATCGGTAGCACGCTTTTTGTGTCATTTACAACAACTACAGCAAAGAAATGGATGGGGGACATTGCCAATTTGAGTAACCCAGCAAGCTCAAGTACAGGTGTTGCCCAAAGTGGTAACCCTTTTAATCCAAATCCCCGGTGGTATTCGCAAGCTATGGAAGAGTGTTCACAGCAAGGTCACATTGACACTCATTTGTCGTATTTATCAAGCCACAGTCATGATCTGCTTGAACGTGTTCTGGTCTGTTTCCAAAATGTACACCCGTCAGAGTTTGTGTAAGAAAGATGCAATGTGAATAGAATATTGGAATGTCAAAAGTCAGCATTCTGTTGGACGTTCTATTTCTACTTCGGCCAGAGCACACGCGAAGCATCCGGCATCCCAACCAACGAACGACTAGGACTCGAATCATAACGAGTGGGTGGTACAGCGCGGACTTTATCACACGCGTCTCACAGCGTCACACAGAGACTTCCGAATCGCAATAATGTTTGGGACTTTCAAGGAGCGTAACATCCCTCGAAGATTCTTTGTTGCGCGAGAAATGAATTTCCTTCGACGTTTTTTTTGTTAAGCGGCGATTGTTTCGTCGATTTTCTCCCAATCGACGGACTGCTTGACGAATTGCAGCATTTGCAACTTCAGATGGTTTGAATTTTCTTGAAGCCTTGTGCTTGATGAAATAGCGATGAACATGTCGCGTCAATTTTTTTAATCTGTCTTTTCGTGAAAACTCTCGATCGAACTTTTTTCGTCCACCTGAACATATAAAGAGTTGATTTCTGGAAAAAACAAAAGGCGCTCACAGCGGCAATACCATGCGGGGGTATTTCTGGACTCCTAGCTGGAGGAAGACTTGGCTCAGAATACTTCAACAGATGCAATCCACTTTTGTTGAGCACTTCCTTCTGGACGGGTGACTCTGTGACGTGTTCAATACCCCAGTCCTTTGCGGTGATTTTCTTGAGCTCGTTCCTCTTTTCGATGAGCGGGTCGTGGTTTTGGATTTTATCCCAACAAGCTCGGCGACGCAAATAAGAAGAAAATTCCGCGGACAGATACAGCGCGTCCAAAATCTTCCTGTCACTGGAAGGAAAGAGTTTTTTCCTCGAAGCATCGCTGAAAGAACAATAGTTGAGTCAACGAGCCCCGAATTATGTACTAAATATATATATCTATATATATATAGATATAGATATATTTATGTATGTACATAGCAAGATCAACAGTATACTCACAGCTCGCTTGGATGCTCCATAGCGACGGTATAATTCAGTGCAACCAAATATCTTTGGGAAAAGCTCTGATTGCGACCATCCTTGGAAAATACAATTCCTTCAAGTCGACGATGTAAATCTTTCAGATCTAAAGCTTCAGGAAAACCAGGAAGAGAAGTGAATTGATCAGATTTATGAAGTAACCAAGAGACAAGGTGGGATAAACAGTCATTGTCGACGTCGAAGTCGTCACACAATTTATCCGTAATCAAACAGTTCCCAATCAGGAAGATCTTCGCTTCGGCCTGAAGTGTCAACAAGGTCCTCTCGACCTCTTTCACTTTTATGAGCTCATCAATCTGCTCGTTGTTCCTGTGTTCTACAATCTCGCTCTTGATTTTGCACATTTCGGAATAGCGTTCAACATAATATCCATATTCCTTTGAGGCATACATCGCTTTCAAGGCAGCCATGTTTGCTTTTGGAAAAAGAATCGTTTCCCAAGATTCCCTGAGTAGAGAGTAAAAACTCATGTAATAGTTTATTGGACCCTCTGGTTAAGTCAGCATGTTCAATAAACTGCGTGCTCACAAATATTCTTTCTTATATTTCTGGATAGTGTGAATCAAGGCACAGAAAATCTCTCCCGCCTCCTCGGAGGGGCCGGAATCCAGAATTTTCTGCAATCGAAGACGAAAATTTTCCAAATCCGTATCAAGCGCTTCACGATTGGGAAAAAGTTGAAGCAGATATTTTTGGGCAAGGGAGCAAGCTTCGTTGTCTTCGTTGGATGGCTCCCCACTTAAAAGAGAAGGCGCTGTTTTTCCCAGCTCAATGACATCCTTTTCCATGTTTTTAACATTATTAGTCAAATGCGCAGTGCCGAGTGACTTCAAGGTCTTTGAATTCAGATGGATCTTTCCCTTAGGAAGCTTCTTGATGGGGAAATGGGATATTCCTATCTTCTTCATCAGCTACAACGATTGATATGATCACTCATTTCAAGATGCACAACTTGCCTCGACGGCTTCAGGATTGTTTTGTGCTGCAAGATTTGAGATATGCTCCAAAAATTGACTCACAGAAACGTTTTTCTAAAGGAAAAAAAGGATTGACCGATAAATCAAGCTTTAAAACTCACATCGGGAAGATTGCGTAGAATGTTCTTCAGAGCCGACCTGCAAGTATCGCTAATTGGTGAACACTTAAAGGTTGTATCCTTTCCATCTGAACTGCCAAGGTTGTATTCTGACCGGGTGGTTCCAGTTGCTGTTAAGGTTGTTCCGGCTGTTCGTGCTGCTCTCATTCCGTCGCCACATTCTGGAACAGTTGTCATCTCGGAATAATGCCCCTGAATTGGAGGAGCATCTGCAAGCTCTAGACTCAGTTCGTGAAACAATGTACTGATCCAACTCATAGCTATGGATCACAATCACACGATTTCCGTTTTTTCCTTTTGGTTTCCTTTTTCGGTCGTGCTAGAAAAATCGGCAACACAGCCGATCGAGGCTTGCGAATCAGCAACAATCAGACCAGATCGCCTGTTGTTCGTACTACATGTAGTCTTGTGCTTTCAAATTGACAGTAGGAACTGTTTTCGCGCCAAAAGTGTTCAGTCGCGTATGTTTCTTTATGACTCGTGTGTTGGCGTGCGAAACTGTTTTGCGGCCTGTTAATCTGTGTATCCAAGTTTTCTGTTTGATTAATGCCAATGCCAGCAAGTGTGCTCCAATCGAGGCAAACCCGTTTGCATTTGCACAATTCATAGGAAGTCCCAAAATCTCCATGAATTTTTTCTTCACCTGTTTTGGACTCCTTAAACCGCACAAAAATAGGCAACAATTCCCCAACATGCAGTGAAGCTTTCAGTTAACGGACCCTGCTGCATTTCCGATGTGTGTTGTGTAGTGAGTGCGAAAATTGAACATCAATATGGGGCTGTCATCATCCTTGTACTTACGAGAAACACCTCGAAGAGACAATTCAATTCGGTCAAAAACGAAAATAACTCCGTCAAGTTGTGCCAAATTGATAAGCTGGTGGTTAGCGTCGTCAAGCAGATGCATTGGATTTTTCCATTCATTGTGCACTCGACAGCCAGCGGGAAGGATATTCTACTTCGTTCATATGTTTTCTGGAATTACGCACCAATAGTATCAATTTAATTTCTACACATCAAAGTCTCTTGAAGAATGCCTGGAGAACCCTCCCGGGTCACCTCATGTAAGGGTTCTTTGATGACAACAAGCCAGCTATTGATCTAGCTCTCGCAAATCCCTATTTCAGATGCTACTGACTCAACCCGCATCGTTATTATGTTTCAGGGGATCTATGCTTGCATAGTAATTTATATCCATTTTTTATCTGGTTGGCCACATTGTCACGGAAAGTTTCAGAAGGCTGTTGAGTCACATATGGCGATGCTTTGCTGCATAATACGTCTAGTTGTGGACCCAAATTTATTCCAGACCTTTCGTTTGACGACACAGAAGACAAGAAGGATTTTGAAAACGCTGTGGAGCTGTTGAGGACTGTTTCCATGCGAAAACTTCCTTCTTTTGATTTTCCAGGTGAGTTGCTTCAATTGGCGCTCTGCACAATTCCACATCAGTGCCTTCTATTTCATATCAATCATTCCTTTTTATCCACATCAATGATTCCTACTGCTTCAAACATGTCCCACATACTCGAATCCCATTCCGATGAAATTCTATTCTGTCAATCCGTTGCAGACGCAAACCCTCATATAAAGGGTCTTCTCAACTACATCGAACTCACATGCCCTGAGTCTCTCCAGATACTACAAGGTTGCGAATTCACAGTAGAGAAAAAGCACGACAGTGGACACCATGGAAAGACTCGGATGAGGCTGCTTCTAGGCCACGTCTGCAAATCGCACGTGCGCCTGTCCTTATGACTTATGGAGTAGTCACGCGCATGTGCAAACAGAAGAGAGAAACGCGCTGACAGCTCTTGTTGCTTGATGGTGATATTGAAAAAGTCCATTTCTGATATAGTTGGTAAGTTTCAATCGCAACGCTTACTGAGAGCAGCTTTGCCCAGACAAATGAAGGCCGTTAATCCAGACATGGAGGTTTCGACAGAAACCGACAATGGCCCTTCTGACTTTGGAAGTATCCCAGTTGGTTGAACAATGGTTGAACAGTGGTTGAAAAACTTTGTTGTGGCCAAAGAGTCAAGTTTAAAAACAGAAGTGATTGAACATCAAAAACAAATTTCACATACAGAGACACATGTAGGAGACAAACAAACAAATACTACATGCTTGAACCTTGAACCTTCATGCAGTAATGCGGGACAGCTGATCAGCGAGATGATTTTCTTTGCCGGAAATGTATTCACACTTAATGTTGAAAATGGAGATTTGGTAGAGCTTCCGAGCCAGGGTGGGAGAGATGAGGGCGTCTTTGAATTTGTCATTCTTAAGGAGAAACACTAGTGGTTGATGGTCGGTAAACACGGTGACGGAAGTTGCTTGATGAGTTAGTTGTACAGCTTGTTGTAGCGAGTAGAGGAGAGCCAATGCTTCTCCTTCAATTGGAGCCAATGTTGCTTCGTGTGGGGTTGTGCGTCGAGAGGCGAATCTGATGAGAGAGCGATGGTGGTTGAGGTTGGAGAAGTAGGCTGCGCCGATGCCATGAGATGAGTAGTCGGAGAAGATGTCGAGCGTTGCGCCGGGCTGCGACGTCATTGTTGCTGAGTATTCTGCATTTCAAACGAACTTGTACTTCAGGCATTGAGACATTATTCATTGATGCAAAATATCAGCAGAAAGCTCTGAGGATCCAAATGATCTGGCAATGTTCTAGTTGCAGACCCTGTTCTTGTTTCCTATAATTTTTCACGAGACTGGCTAAAATTTCAACAGAACCTCACTGCCTTATGTCTATCGGCCAGATGAAGCCAAGAATATCCCTCAAGATGTTCGCCCTTGTGCTACGCCAGTCACGCTCATATCTGGTGTCTCTAACCCATCTGTAGGATAGTCTGTAACACACAGCTTGATCGTCGTACATTGATCACTGCAATACTCAAACAATCTTCTGCCTTTTGGACGATACCTCCGGAGTTGGTGAAATCTCATTCCAATAAATCATTGTCTCCTTCTTGACAGAACCAGCTCATCTTGTAGTTGAGAGACTCAATATTAAGAAGGAGAAACTCATTTCAGTTTTCTTTCAAATGTTCTTCACCATTGATGTAAGATGTTCATTGTTGGTTGGAGGGGGCAGCTTAGTGAGGATATCTAAGATGTGAATGTGTTCAAGTTGAATAAAGTTCATAGGAAATATCGCTCCCAACAATTGTTGAAGGAACCCGAAGAAAATGTGACATTGAGAAATTTGAGATCACGATTTGGACGCAGATAAGCCTATCACTCAATAGTAAATAGCGTACGGGAAGATTGCGGCTGCTTGAAGAACAATTTCAAGAGATCAATAATGGACAACCTTCTTATGGAGTCGCCAGTGCCTTCAAGGGTCTCTCTTTTTACCACAACTCACGACAGTTCTAAGGGCAATTTGGCGAGAAGAAAATACAGGACTGTCTCAGAGACACTTGAGTACCATTCTTGCTGAATCACCCTTGGCGTTTCTGTTGTTATCAGAAGGTTGATTCTCAACCTCTCAAGTTTCCAATTTGGAATTATTTTCGAAGTCTGACATTCTTTGCTTACGTGGATCTTGGATCACTTGAAGTCTAATGTTGGCTTGATGGATCGCTTCAACATCGCGCTTCTCTTTAGAGGGAAGTGTTCTCGTTCATCCAACAGCCAGAAACATCCCTCAATCCAAAAAAAAACAGTTCTGTCAAACCTGTTCAATTTATCCCCATTTCAAAATCTCGTAACCAGGAAGAGATTCGTTTAAAGTGAAATGACAACGCCGCTTGTAGAATTCGACCGCTTGTGGATTCTCTGAAGTAGGGAGTCGAATGATGAAATTCAGCAAATGAAGGTTGAAATGGAGTTCAGATCGAAAATGGAGGTCATTAGCTCGTGGTTATGAGTCTAGATGCTTCCATTCATCGACTCACCTCTCTGAACTGTGCAGTATATTCCATTCATTCGTAATGCTTTGCTTAATGCTTTTAAATACTTCACGATTGCGAATCCCAATCCTTAAACATTCCAGTGACATCATTTTTTGTATTGCTGAATGGTCGCATACCTTGATTTTGGAAAGGCTTCTCAAGCTGGAGTTCATAGAGGTACAAGACGGCATCCTAGAATCAAATTGATAAACCAATCAATTATTGTTTTGACTCTTACTGCTCCTTCTTTTTCACATCGAAAATGAACAAATCCAGCGATTTCAGTAGAATCAGTTTCATTGCTGTCTACTCTGACACCCGCATGATCCAACGGCTCTCTGACACCCGCATGGTGCTTAAATACTAGGAAGTACGCTGAAATGAGATCATCAAACACCAAGGAATGAGAACGCCAAGATAAGATTGATTCTTGATGATTGTGGCCATTAGATATAGAAGGATACTCTATGCACCTCGATGATGGTTTAACTCGTTTGTCTTCAGTTCATCATTCCATCCTGAAGTTTCCGAACCCTCAATCTGAAACTTCGATTTGTCATAAATATCTTGCATGTTACGGCGCAAGAGATGCAAACACGATTGTTTGAGAAGAGGAGGAATTTCCTTAGACCCTCCATGAATGAACTGAAGGAAACCAGAATGTTCATCCGAAGTCTAACATTGTCTCTCTTTCTCATTTTTCTTTTTCCCACCTCAAGATCTAAACGTGAGAGAGTTTCCTTCAATGCCGATGGTACAGGACACGTCACTTCAAAAAAGTCTCGGGTTCGGAGTAATTCATAGGCTTCCCGAATTCGAACTGCTGGAGACTTCTTTGGAGGCATCGGTGTTGCATCTAAATTAAAAATAAAAATTTAGCAAAACCTGTCAGGCTTCTTTCAGGAATTTCATACGACCAGCAACACACTTAATTAATCGATATATCGAGAACATTAATGGAAAACGCGACCATAGGCAGTCTGGAACAGCACTTGATTCATTCGTAAGGCCAACTTTTTTTTTATAAACAATAACAAAGATACAGCAGACCAGATGAACAGAAATCTTTTAACGTCTTCGCTCTTCTTCTTCTTCTTCATTATTCTAATTGCGCACAAAGTTTTATGTGACGGTTTCGTTAACAATGAGCAGCGCCTTGCATATAGACGATTGCTTCTACCTGAGAGAGTCAAGCAACCCTCACAACTGAACATCTTGCAGAAAAGCTTGAAAAGAATATCAGGAGAGTTTTGGCAACACTTGATTTTAGGAACATTTTTATCGCCTCAAGCAGACAGAATCAAAGACATAGAACAGGAGAATGAAGCTGCAGAATCCAATCCAAAATGGAGTGATTTTTGTAGGCGAGTGCTTTCAGGTTTAGTCGGAGTTCCATGTGTTGTTCTTCAGCTCTGTTCCAATCTCTGAATTGCGTTCCATTTGCAAGGAACGGTGCGATCGCTTCTGGATCTCATCTCCAGAATATAAAGACAGCGATACCGACACAAGTTTCATCAAAGAGAAAGTTCCAAGCCATCGTGAAGACGCCTTCCATGCATCAAAACTTGACGCTCCAATTGCTCCAGTTGCTCCAATTAGCGCTCAAATTGACAGCTCTTCCTCATCGTGGCTCGCAGAACTGACTCCCTCCACACGTTCTGATGCAGAAGCTTTTGAAGCGTCAGATTTAAGAGCATTGCTAGTCATCGCTGATTCACCCCTTGTAAGGCAATTTCATGATCTCATCTTGACGCCTCCAACAATCAGTCAAAGAGAGGAACCCAGAGCAAAGAAGCACACGAAGCCAGTAGAAGAGGCGGCAGCAACGAAGAAGCCTGCAAAGCGCAAGTACGTGCGCGAAGATCGAGACGAAGAGAACAAACCAATTAAAGAGCTCGCAGTCAAAATGAACGAATTATTTGCGATGTCGGCAGATGTAGCAACATTGCGGTGTGTTGAGAGATGCGAACAAACTGTTGGGCGACTCATGGATGATGTTCCACTTGGTGGATCCATTTGCGCCAACGTTGGATTCCCTTCAACTCAATATTATTGCAAAGTTGATAAGATAGAAGCTTCTGCAATCCATATTACATTGCTTCAATCATGTTCAAGATGAAAAGAGCTGTGTTTCTCACTTTGCAAGACGCTTACGTTTAAGAAGGGAAAAACAGTGATCGAGGCCGATGGTCGAATTAGACTCTAAAGTAATTGTTCATACTTTTGAGCTTCCGTCACTTGATTTTATGTTCCCATTTTGATACCATTCACGAACCCACAAGAGTATCGCTGTCAGAACCGAAGAGCAGATGAAGGAGCGGTGTCATTCTGTCCCATGGCACAGCTTGCTGACCTGTTTGAACTTGTCAAATGCTCCGAGAAAAACGCCCGCGTCAATTGAGTCTTCGTAAGAAACGAGACGCAGACCTTCCCAAGGAACATGACCGTTCAGAAGATGATGCCGATGAAATTCTCCCGCCAGTCGATGGATCAGAAATTACTGAAAAATCTCCCGAGTCTCAGGAAGCGTCAGAAAGCAGCAAACAGCCAAAGAAGAAAAGAAGGCCTTTGACGGGCGGGGAATATCAGAAAGTGTCAGACCGCGGAGTGCTTCTTATCGGGCATTTGCCTCCCGGTTTTTTGGAACCTCAATTGAGGAAGTTTTTCCGCCAATTCGGAGATATTACACGATTTCGGCTGGTCAGATCGAAGAAGGTAAAAACTATTCTATATTTAAAAACATCTATTTGTTTTTGACTTCTTTCATGGCTTTTTGTCTTTCCTTTATCAGACAGGAAGATCAAAGAATTATGCTTTTATTGAATTTGCTTCAAAAGAAGTCGCTGAAATCGCAAGCCAGACGATGAATGGCTATTTAATGTTTGGAAGGACATTGAAGTGTCGAATAATACCATCAACGGATATCCACTCTGGTGCGTTAATGCTTATAGAACACCCGGCCTGACTTCGAGTAAAATGGCCCCATCTCTCAATGTACATCTAATCATTCCCCATGATCCTCATCATCCTCTATGCTTCTCGTCTCACGGCAATCTATTCCTTTAGGTTTATTTTCCCGTTACGTCAAATACCCGAAGCGGTCCTTCCATGTCGATAGAGCACGGCAAAAATATCATCGTCTAGGTGAGATATGAGACATCGATAACAACAGCATTCATAAACAGCATTTCATAACAACAGCATTTCATAACAACAGCATTTCATAACAACAGCATTTCATAACAACAGCATTTCATAACAACAGCATTTCATAACAACAGCATTTCATAACAACAGCATTTCGTACATGCAGCTAGCAGTTCGAGAAATCCTTAAATGTTCGTTCTCAGATGCGGAAATGACCGAAAGCCAAGCTTCCCATAAGTTGGAAAAAGAAGTTTCAAAATTAGAGAAAATTAAAGCGCTAGGCATTGATTACACTCCACCGACGTTGACACGACAATGAATTCCGTGCTTTTCTCCTCCAAAGATTTGCCGAATTTTGTAGCTACATGTCTGCAGTCAGGTTGTAAGACGCACCACGATTCCTGTAACGTAACACTGCAGAAGAGGGTTTGATTGCAAGGTATAGAACGATAGATTAGCTGGAAGAAGGAGAAGCGACTCATAAAAGAATGACTTTTGTACGATTCTGAGTTTTCTGGTTTTTTGGACACCCAATCTAACTGGCTGTGACCCTTTAACCATAAGAACAGATTTCGGCCAGTCCAGTGCGACTGGTCTCAATCTCCTCATCCATTCAACATGATCCATTTTTACAAGTAGAGCTCCCATGACATCTTTGTTCCGCTCACGAATTCATGAAGTCCTTCAAATCCGCATCAGTCGCACTGACGTCGTCCGATCTGTCTTCATCGGTCAACATTCAGAATACATTGTTGAAGTTCTAGAGGCCAGTGGACAGAGCTCCACCGTTAGTAAACGATTCAGTCATTTCTTAGACCTTCACCGTGCGGTACGTTAAAAGATGCCTGCTGCGTTCTCAAGTCAATCACTCTCGATGATGATGATATTTAGTCAGTCAGTTTAGTCAATCAGTTTAGTCAATCAATCAAACGCTTATTTCTTCTGAATCTCATACTCACTTCTTCATCTTGACTCTCTCATTTTTCTCTAGTTGTCGAGCGATGTAACAAATGATCCTCTTCCGGAGTTTCCGCCCAAAAAGGTTTTCGGAAATTTGGACCCTGATTTCGTAGAAAAGTGAGTCAAGAGCAGCAATGTCGCAAAAAGTATGTTCTGGAGCAAGTCTGTTATAGAACTTGCACACTGCCCCAAATTGAGCCGTTTTTTCAAGTTGTTATTGAAACAGCGCAGCTTGCAAGCAAAGTACTTATCTGAGCATTTGTACATCCCCATGCTCTTTTTTTGTCAGTCGGCGTGCAGCCCTCGAGATTTACCTTCAACGTCTTCTCAAGCATCCCCACGCGTGCACATCTGCATTGCTGTGGAATTTCCTTGATGTGGATGATTCTGTGGTGACGATCGCCCATTTTTTGGGTCCATTGCACGATGAAGCTGTTGCATTACAAAGAGTTGAAGATCTCAAACTTTTGCTTCGAGACGACACTGATTTGAATTTAGGTAGAGCGTCCCAAGATCTCGTCACTGAAAGACTTGTGAAGTGCACAACTCTTGTTGATAATTCTGCATTATTAACGCGATCTTGTTTAACGTTGACTCAAATTTGTCTCCGATGCCCCAGTGAGTATCAAAGCATAATTGTTTGTTCCTATTTATTCAATTTGTAGAATCCCGACAGTCTTTGGTTCGGTTCAACGCTCTTTCATCTCTTCTTACATTACTTGAAAGATTTCCTACTGATGTTGCTCTCGTCACAAATGCTAGAGAATGTCTCTATTCTTTAGTCATTCTGTACCCCCAATCCTTAGTTACCTTCTTCCGTGCCCAACATGGATTGTCCCAAGTTCATCGTATCGCTCGCAGCTCAGTCTTATCATTATTCCACTCCTTCCTGGGTCTTCTACTTTGGCTTTCCATCGACCAGCCTGAATTGCAAACAGCTTTATCAGAACCCGAAAGTTTAGGTCAGTTGCTCTTCCATGCACATCCCTAGTGATCAACCTATGATGAGGGTTCAAGCGTGTAGGGAAGAGCGAGGAACCTGCATCCCTTATTGTTTTACTCATCCTAATCTTCTCTTATGCCCATTTCCCTCCAAGGAGTCTGAATTGGCGGATGATTCTTTGTGTTTCCTATTGTGTTTTTCTTTTCTTCAGGAATTGATGTACTTGGATCTTTGTTTCGCTCGACAAATTCAACTGCTCGTCTTTTCTGCGGTCTTGTCGTGTCTCTTCTGATTATGAAGAATAAATTTCGTTCAGCGAATATCGGACTTCACGCGGGTCGAAGCATCGACGCGTTACGCGGACAATTAAGTGGTTCCAGTTGTCGCAAAGAGAGATTGAAGCTCTTTCCATCACGAGTTTCGAGCGATTCTCAATCCTACAGGGATCCAACAACCATCGTCGAGATTTTTGATTTTCATGAATTTGATCTTGCAGTTCAAAAAGCATTCGAATCGGATCGTTTAGATATCGATGTTGATTCGAGTAGCGATTATCCGAATTCTGTTGATGACGCTCGGTTGAGCCAACCACCCCCCATTACAGCCAGACGTTGCCTTTCCCAGCCGTCATCGCAGCACAAGGCTCGAGATCAACATCTGTGATTTCAAGACCGCAAGATCCATTGCACTCTCATCGTGAAAGAATGAACATGAAAGAGAGGGAAAGCGAACCAGTCGATCTCCAAGAATTGGACTTTCTGATGCTCTACATTGGATGTTGCTCAACACCAGCGATCACTCAACGTCTTCTAAATTTGCTCAAACTCTGTGCAGCTGACGATCGCAACCCCTCAGATGAACGCGAGTGTCAATTAAACGTCTGTAATTTTGTTCTCTGGGTTATCAATTTACTTCTCTCCCGATGTCGCCATCGTCATATCAGAGGTTTAGCAGTCAATCCTCGTAGCAATCATTCCCAGGCAAACATGTCGGTGCAGCCCATGAACGGCATAGGAGGGAACCTTAGCGCTAACTCGTTTGATATGGCTGCACCAATGCGCATGTTACAGCGAGCCGTTTTGGAGGATCTCAGTGCAACTTCAACATCAACTGATGGTTGGACACCATCGTCTGCACAAAGTGATATTGATGACACATCCGGCAGAGCGAGTCCACAACCGAACAAAATGGCGTTCGAATTTGGTGGCAATCACAACTCACTTCATAGCGATGGACTTCATTCCGACTTGACGTCGTTATTCTCAACATCTCCTTTCAATCTTCGTACGCATTTGAGTGTAAGAGTCTCGAATCATAATCAATATCTCATTCGCTATTTAGTCACGCAAAGTGAACGACTTCCCCCGTGGCAAGTCTTCATTGATATTCCTCAATGTCTTCAATTATTCGAATCGATTCTTGTTGGAGATTTTTCTGAAATCTCGAGAACATACGCGGCTTCCATTTTACTCAGTATTCCGTGGGTGATTGAGGGGATTAGAGGAAGATCAATCTCATCGTCGTATGGAACCTCCATCAGTCCCCGCATCTATTAGTCCCAATCATGAATCCCCACCAATTCGAGTTTTCCCTCTTCTAAAGAAGGCGTTTTCGATGCCTCTCGATCGCCCGTCTGTAGGCGTCGCACCGATCGAGCCTCACAAAGATGTTGCTCCTCAGCAAAGATCTGGAATACCGCCAGTCGATTTCGGCGTCCCTCAGCGACTTCTTCATCAGAGAATGACGGCCATTTCTGCTCTCCTCAAATCGTGCGAATTATCGATGAATGCTCAACGCGATCAATTAAAGTCGGAGGATGGAAGACTTCAGCGAGAGGAGCGACTTGTTGCCGAGAGACAGACGCCTCTTCCTCTGAGCGAGAGTTCCTTGAATGACTTCAGTAATCACTTTAAGGACTATTTGATGAGCCAAGAGGCCATCAAGGGAACAACAATTATGGCGAAAGACTTCTTGACGGAAACACGAACGCGCTTAGAAGGGCAGGGGTTGACTCGAAGCGGAATTACTGGTAAGACGGTGCCTCGAGTGTTCCTAAGCTTCGCATCTAAAAAGCCTTTCTGGCTCCCTTGTTATGACGCGTCTGCCTCTTTGTGCGCCACTATTCCATTTCTTGAACTGTCTGAAGTGAATCTCGTGAATCCCATGGTTGTTATGAATTTCATGGTTGTTATGAATTTCATGGTTGTTATGAATTTCATGGTTGTTATGAATTTCATGGTTGTTGTGTTCTCAGTCGCTTCAACTGCAATAGAATCGGAACTTGCATCACTTTCTGCATCGACGGAGCATTTGTTTGATATCCACTCAGAAGTGACGCGCCATTCAACTGCACTTCGTGAGGCACGAGCTGGAGCAGATTCTTTGTTGCGACTCTTCGTTGATTTAAATGCGGAATCCCGAAGAATGCAGGAAGCGCTGAGAAACAGCTAGACGTAATGCGCAACACAAAAGAGATCGATGGATAGATTTCGAGCGATTCATTTCAGAAGCTCCAGAAAGAAAAAAGAAAATTGCTGAACAAGTCGCGCAAAAAGAAAACCAGACAAAAGTTGCCCAGAAGAAAGTTTCCATGCTTCAAACGGCTCTGTCCCAAGCTGAAATCAGTCACAATGACGCATCGGCCAAAGACAAAAAATCTGAAACGGAGCTCAACATTATCGAGACGACGATTGTTGATTTAGAGAATTGGTTATCATCAGTGGAAAATGCGAGAAGTCAACAGACTCCTGGCACATCACCCAAGCAGTCAGAGGGATCGCCTCCCTCTCCATCCACTTCTATTAAGGAAATGTCAAAATCTCAAATGAGTGACATCATTTCCAGATTACCGCAATTCGTGAGAGAGGAGTGTTGATATTCAGGAGTTATCAGAATCACCAGGTCAGCCCGTCCGTCATCTAACCATTCTTGCCAACTACGGCAAGATTCATCGCTCGCGACTTGTTGATATATCCAGAGTTGATAAATATACACAGTTGATATATATACACAGTTGATATATATACACAGTTGATATATATACACAGTTGATAATATACACAGTTGATATATACACACAGTTGATATATATACACAGTTGATAAATATACACAGTTGATAAATATACACAGTTGATATATATACACAGTTGATATATATACGGAGCTGATATACATGACGTATACGTAGTTGATATATTCAGAGTTGATACACAGTTGATGTACATACACAGCTGATATTTATGCATAGTTGATATATACGTAGTTGATATATACGTAGTTGATATATACGTAGTTGATATATACATAGTTGATATATACGTAGTTGATATATACGTAGTTGATATGTACATAGTTGATATGTACATAGTTGATATGTACATAGTTGATATATACATAGCATTGTTGGTATATATGCCAGAGGTGATATAAACACAGACAGCGTCGTCGTTCATTCTTTGTCCAAATGGTAGATCTTAGACAAAGCAACGCAAATTCGGACACTCTCCTTCATTCTCATTGCTGCTGATCTTCGCTCTCAATTGGCGTCGACAAGTATCGTTGAGCGTCGCAGTCGGCTTCAACAACTGACTGAAAAATTGAAGCGCTTCGAGGAGGAGCACAAGAGACGCAACACTGAGAGAGATCGACTACGAGCGGAGTTGGAAGCGCAGAGCGACGCTGATCTTCTCATCGAAAAGTCGGCTTCACTTCAGGCGGAAGTCCGAGCGTAAGTCCGGGGTGTGCGTCCGTTCGTGTGATGCGGGGTCGCATTTTCAGATCTGACGTCGAGGCTCAGCGACTTGCTTCGGAACTTGAATCCTTGGAAACGAAAATTCGATCGACAGAAACGGAATTAGAAGCAAAAAAGGCGCACGTCAGAACATGCGAGCAAAGATTCTTCACCAGAAGGGAACTTCTTCTATCGCTCGTCGAAGAATCAGGACAGATCCCGACAGCTGATCAGCCAAAAAGTTCTTGATGTGGAGAAATCGTTGGGACAATTCTTATCCGAAATGATGAGTGCTGTGGAGGATAGCGGCTACGCAACGTTAAACCGACTTTTGCTGCATTTTACACTCACGATGGAATCACAAACACGCCTAGAATTTCGTTCAAAAATTAATGAATTAATTGAAGTGTTGCAAAAAGCTGAGAAAGAGCTCTCAAGAATTGACGATTCCCCACTGAGAGATCATTTCTCATCCTGATTTTCAAGGAAATTCTTCATTTGGTTCAACTTCAGTGGAAATGTCTCGTAAGGGCAAATGCCATTTTTCGAAGGAATGTTTTGTTTGTTGGTGTTTTGTTTGTTAATGATTTTTACCTTGGAACTCCAAACAGTCAGGCGTGACGTTGATGCTATTCAGAACACCATCCTCGATAAAAAGAGGAGTTCTCTGCTCATTAAAGTGGAATTCAGAGAAGCAACGCTATTATCATCAATTAAGATTCTTCTCGAAATCAGCTGCTTCTCATACGAATGTTCCGCGAACAGGATCGACAGAACCGCGAATAGCAAGAAAGGGTCAAGCAGGGTCGACACAAACCGCGGACTTCCAAGCGAGCAACAGACGCCCCCAAGCGAGCAACAGAACCCCCCAAGCGAGCGACAGAACCGCCCAAGCAAGCAACAGAACCGCCCAAGCGAGCCACACAACCCCCCAAGCGAGCGACAGAACCGCCCAAGCGAGCAACAGAACCGCCCAAGCGAGCCACAGAAACCGCCCAAGCGAGCCACAGAACCGCCCAAGCGAGCAACCAGACCCGCCCCAAAAAGCGAGTTGAATTTCCAAGAAAGGGTCACCAATCCGAGAAGACCGCCAAACAGGCACGATTCTCATGGAATCAGAAAAAAAGGATGCGAAAAAGAAGAAAACGGAAAAGAAAGTCAAGGAAGACGGAAACCACCATATCACCAAAGAGATGGTATGAGAAGAGCAGGATCCATTCCGCCCATTCGCCGAGTTCCCTTCCTGTGACGCTCTCTTAATCCAAATGGAAGCAGCCGCGAAGAGTTTCATTGATGGATGCTGATTTATGGCACGACTATAGCAGACAAGTCATCAAAATGTTGCCTTATTTTTCATCTGACGAGTTGGCAAGCGCGCTGGCGATTTACTCTAAAATTGGATACAGGGACCCAATTGCTTGCCAAGCGATCTTCGAAGCGCTTTACTGGAAGATTCAACTTCGTCTAGCAAAACCTTACACAGTGTCCTCCATCATGGAGGCTGCGGGTGATTTGAAATTCTGTCCATCTGAACGTCATCTGAATCAAATTTTCCGGGGATTGAAGGCCCCTTCATTTGTCTGTCGAGGCATCGATTTGGTGAATATTCAATGGGTGTTGACTCTCGCCAAATCAGATAAAAAAATTGAATTAATGAAAACTGAAAATGGTAAAAAATGGATTGATGAAATTTACGCTTATGGCGGACAAGAGATTTCTGAGTTTGGGACTTCCGAGAGTGATGATCTTCAAGAAATGTTTCAGAGGGAGAAAACAACTCACCGATTGCCAAATCGTCTTCTCTTTCCTTGTTCAAAAGAATCTCATCATTTTAATCTTGTCCCATTGATAATTCGATCGCTTGGTTCAATGAAGGAGTTTGCTGTCATACGGGCTCTTGATATCATTGCAAGAGAAGGGTATTTGACTCCGTGAGTGTATAGATCTGTTATGAATGATTACTTGGGATTCATCTGTTTATTAATTTATTTATCTGACTCTTAGTGTATTGATCTGTCATCCACTATTCATCTGTTATTGATTGTATTCATCTGTTACTAATTGTTTTAGTCTATTTTTCTCCTTTCCCCTGAAGCTCATTCTTTGAAGCTCATTTTTCAATTCTGTAGTTCCACTTCAGATCGTATTATTGACGCTCTTCTTCGCAATGAGAAACAATTAGTTCCAGAGCAGCTCGATCAAGTCTTAACGGTGTTTTTAAGAGAGCGAACTGTTCCTCTTCAATTTTTAGAAGTACTCCCTTACGCCTCTATCTCCCTTAACTCTCTCTGTTGCAGTTGTGCCACCTACAAGTCAACAGACACTCAACTCGCTTGGAAGCAGAGCATATAGTCAAACTTCTCAAGTACGATCCCCCCTTCAACTCTCACAGATCGACTCCTGCATCTTCAGAGTGTTAGAGATCAGCGATTGCAGGGATCTCGCGCTTCTTGGGGATCTTGCGCTTCTGATTGACGGAAAGCGTCAAGGCTTTCTTCCAAATCAAGTGAGTCTATGAATCAAACATGAATGCTTCACAATAGACATTAATGAGGCTGTTCTCTGCCCACGTTGATCAGCAATACTGTGCCTTAATTCGTGATTGCAGCTCTCAAGCGCTCTTCTGAGTTTTAAAGCGCTTCAATTTCCTCCAATTTGTTTGCTCAACCTCAATCTCCCAAGGATCTCGTATCGCCGTACACCCTGCAAGCCGTCAATTCCCCGCTCGCTGGCTTGTTTTCCAAAATGATCTCTCACAGCGGGGATCCAAACAGCAATAGCGGGGAACATCAAGGAGATTGGAAATGATTCTTCTGAGAATCGGCCGAAGATTCGTGTTATTGGAAAACCTTTTTGAGAAGAAAGGCCCGAAGCCTCTCACGCATCACTCCAATCATTATCTATCACGAGCCCCAGATCGCGTGCTCATCCGATTTGAGTCGAGTCCAACACAAACCCTCATCCATCACGATGAACCACAAGATACCGACCGAACCGTTGAACGTGGAGAAGTCTCCTTGCAATGCAGAAGCTCAATAGCAGGAAATTTCAAAATACAAAAGTCGGAGGAGGCCTGGTTTGGAACGAATGATGGGAAAAATCTCTGCTTCTCTTCTTTTGTTGTTTTCACAATTGCGACCCAATTTAAGAGAATCTTATCTTGAAGCGACTCGAATTGCAGCTGCTGGATTGGCGGAGTATATCGAATCTACAGCAGCGTTGACCCAAAGAATTTCTGATTCATCTAAAATAATGATTGATACGAATAGTTTGAATAAAATGGGAATCACGTCGCTCAATGACAAAGTTCCGGTTCCACTGACGAGAAGCGGAACAAACCGATTCGAATTGGACGCGCCGAAACGAGTGAAGAAAGAGACGTCAAGGAATCTCCAACGTTGTCGATATTTGATCTGGTGAAGGCCATAAGTGAAGAAGCAGAAATTTTCTGAAATGAACAAGAAGAATGAAAAGAATAACGGTCTCTTGTTGAATACTGAAGGTTGGGTCGAACTAGAGGATCATCTGCAAATTACACGAGGACGAAAAAAGGGAAAAAAGAGAAGAAAACTTTTAAAGACAGAAACAAAGGAAGACAGAAGAGTTCCGAGGGGAAAATCAGGAATGAGGCTCACAAAAATCATTCCAGAATATTTTGAATCTTGGAGGACACTCCAGAAACTCCCAGCAAGCGGTCCGAAAGAAGACTTGGGAGGCCGATTGTCCCGATTCCGGAAATTAGCGGAGGGGCAATCCCTTTGTCAACACTCGAAAAAACAGCAACAGGGATTGGGAAAACAAAAGGATTCATTCCCGCATTTGGTCCCATAGAAAGAAGAATGACTAAAAATGAGGTATGATGATGAATGTAATTCTTAGAACAAGAAGAAGAGTCCTCACTTACATGGTGGAGTATTCAAGAGAGCAGTGAATGATAGAGATGGAATTACTGGCTCTCCCGCCCTCAATGATTCTCTCTACCCTTAATGAAGGCCTTGCGCTGATTGTCACTTCATTTGTGAACAGAAACGAATGGAAAGACTGAAGGAGTTATTCGTTTCGCGACGTCATCCTGCTGCTCTCCGCTTTGCAAGACGATTATCAAGAGAAGAAATCAAGTTTGACGATCCAAAAACAGCTGAGGCGTTCAAACTGACAAAAATGAAAAAACCGTTGGTCTTAGATTGGCGTTCGAAATTAAGGGAAGTTGAATTCGAGGGAAAGAGAACTTTATGTCCGTCGATGTGAAGCTCGAAATTCGAGATCATTCTCCGTGAGTCCCACAACTCTCATAAAGGTTCTATCTATTTGTAGAGTCAACCCTTGTTATGCAAGATTGTTGATTTTTAACAATTCGAATGTTTTTGTGTGACAGAGCAACTTGGGGTTTGTCATCACAAATCGACAAGTCCGTAAGACGATCTTGGGACCATTTCGTGATTTGGGACAGTATTGGGACATCCTTCCTACCGCCCGCCAAGCTGATGCTTCCAACCTGCTTGCTTCCGATTCCTATTCCTTTGATTTCGACCTTCCATGGACTCGAATACCCCCACATTTATATCTTGCACTCCATTATTTGAAAGTTAAAATCAATCAACAGAAATTCGTCCCAACCTTCGTTGAGTTGCGACTGTCGAAGCATCTCAGTATTTTGTCGACTCTTTGGAAAAAACTTGATTCCTCTGATTCTTCGCGAAACTCGAGACTTCTCAAATTGAATCCCCAATTTATCGATAAATCGAATTCATCATTCTATCATGATGTCTTACCTCTTGTCATGCCACGCCTCGATTATTTACCGAATCGAGCCATCAGACGGAATTTATTAAGTTTCATTCGTGACGCGCGATCTGCATCGGAATTTTATTCTCGTATTTTGGGACCGTCCGACACCCAAGCGGGATCTTCGTCGAATGGTCATTCAAACGCCTCAACTGGTGGCCAACGAAATGGTCTTCATGTTCGTAAACTTCAGCCCCCGATCAAATTGAAAGTTGTCCCTTCATCATTAACCATTCCTACGGAACCGTTGATCATTCCTACGGAACAGAGTCATCTACCTGCTGTACAAAATTCAAACATTCACTCACCAGGTCTGTCTTCCAACCCCTCTGTTGACACTTCGTGATATTTCGAGTGTGTCTACGCTTGTTGATTCTCTCATTTTATCGCAACCAGTTCGTCGGGTCCTTCAGCATTCTCTCGAACAATCTGTAGTGCAACTCATTCAGCAACAAGCGCATCAAATTGACTATTCCGTGACATCCGATGGGCTGACATCTTCAGCACAAACGTCTTATTTCAATCTATCAATCTCTTAATGACTATCTTGAATCATTGGCATCTAAGAAAGCAAGTTCTAATCAACCAAAGCTCAATCAACAAACACATACAAGCTTTCTACACGTAGGCCACACTTCACAACAGTCATGTCCCAAGAGGGCTCAACAACCGTTCATTGCTTTCATTTCCCTTGTATCTATGCAGGTCCCCTGCAAGTCTCTCATTTTCCAATCACACTCTCAAACTTCTTTCTATTCCTCATTCCCCCAATTCATTCCTTGGGTGAACAATCTTATTTCAGGGTTCAACCACTTCGAAGCTTCCCGCTCTCGATTTCATTCAGGGATGAAGGATCCAACGAAGGATCCCATCGTAGAATTGCGACTTTCGAACATCTCATGTTTTCCGTCATTCTCTCTGAGAATTTCCCAATCAAACAACTTTCATCTTCGAATCTTTGCAAATCTTGCAACCAATTCCATCAATGCACTCAGTGGCACCAAAGATAACAATTTCAAGAAATGGCAACGTCTTCAAAATTTGGTTCTTCTTGAAAGTATTTGATCGTTTGAAGACGAATATTCGAATTCCCAACGAACAAATCAAATCAGAACGATTTCATGATGGGGAAGCGCAGAAACACAAATCCAACAGTAAGACGACAAACCGTCCTCTTTTCTTCAATATGAAATTATATATATTAAATAAATATCGATATATATAAATTTATCCCTTTCAGAGCTTTATCGATTTGCATGCGTCTCCCTACCTGGGGCTACTCCTCAGCTTCTCCCCCCATTGGAGAGGTTTCATCCCTGCTCTCAGCTTGCGAACTCCTTCTCAAACATCTTCGTGATTCTGGATCAACAAATCTCCCAATCAACTCGAAGGATCTTTCCCTTATCGCCAAGTCTCTACAAATTCCTCGACCCTCTTAAAGACGCGACTATTTCGATTCAGATG